AAAAAAAAAAAAAAAAAAAAAAAAAAAAAAAAAAAAAAAAAAAAAAAAAAAAGACGAAATACAATAATACATAAACTATAAAACATTTTCAGGGTTTAGGGTCTAGGGTTTGGAGTCTAGGGTTTAGGGTTTAGGGTTTAGGGTTTACATACGTTATCTCAGCAGAAGAAAAAGGAGGTACTATACAACTCGTGGGGTGTATAGACACCGCGCTGTCTCCCCCCCCCCTCAACACTTCTCTCCAGCAACAATATAACTAAATAAAAAAAAAAAAAATAAAAATAAATGTAAATTTATATAAATAAATATTAATAAATATCAATAAAAACAAATAAATATAAATTTATATAAATAAATATTAAAAAATATCAATAAATATTAATAAAAACAAATAAATATAAATTAATATAAATACAAACAAATAAATATATATTAATATAAATGAATATAAATAAAAACAAATAAATATAAATAAAAACAAATAAATATAAATAAAAACAAATAAATACAAATAAAAAAAATAAATATAAATAAAAACAAATCAATATAAATTAATATAAAAAAAATATATATGTGTATAGAAACATACAAATTTATATAAATATAAATAAATATAAATAAATAAAAATAAACATAAATTAATTAATATAAACAAATAGAAATTATATTTATATATAAATTATTATAAATAAAAATAAATCAACAAAAAAAAACAAAAAAGAATAAATAAATAAATAAATAAATAAATAAATAAATAAATAAATTTATATAGGTGCAAATGATTTAAAATAAAAACAAATTAATAAATATAAAAAATATAAAATAAATAAAAACAAAAAAAATAAAATAAAATAAAAACAAATAAATAAATAGAGATACAAAAGGAAACAGAAGAAGAGACAGAAAAGGAGACAGTAAAATAAATAAATTTAGTAAAAACATAAAACAAAAAAAAAAAAACAAAAACAAACATTAGGGTTTAGGGTTTAGGGTTTAGGGTTTAGGGTTTAGGGTTTAGGGTTTACAGGGGTTTCTGTTGTATTATATATTGCTACAACCTGAGAAGTATTAATAGATTTAAACTCTATATATTGAGGAGACAGAAAGGCGAGCCTGTATATACACCCCACACAAGTTCCTGCTGCTGCTGCTGCTGCTGCTGCTGCTGCTACTGGTGGTGGTGGTGGTGCTGCTGCTGCTGCTACTGGTGCTGTTGCTGCTGCTGCTGCTGCTGCTGCTGCTGCTACTGGTGCTGCTGCTGCTGCTGCTGCTGCTGCTGCTGCA